GCCGCCGCCGCCCGCCCCCGGGCGGTTCCCGGCCCCGTCGGGGAGCCCCGGGAGGGGAAGGGGCGGCTCCGCGGGGACCCTGCGGGAGGTGCCCTGCCCCGCAGCCCTGGGAGCAGCGAGGGGTGCTCGGTGCCGCGGGGACCGTCCGGCTCGGGAGGGACACGGGGAGACGGTCCCGAAGCGCAGCTCCGCACCCCCGGGCCCGTCCCCTACGGCCCCGGGAATTCCCGGAGCGGGAGAGGAGAGTCCCGACACGGATTTAGGGAAAGTGTTTGCCTTCAGGGACCTAAAATTGCCGTCTCCCCTAGAGAACTACCACGAAGCACTAAATTCTCCTGCCCCAGTTCTCCCTTGGGGCTCCCTTAGCTCCAGGGGGACAGGCTGCATGCGGGGGGCACAGGCTGCCGTGGAAGCTGCACACCTCCACATTAAAGGTTTACACTCTCGCCTCTGCTAATCGACTGCTTTGGCTCCACACACTCTAAAAACCGTGCCTGCTTATAGAAAAAACAAGGTAAACAGCCCTAAAATGCCTCGCAGTAATTCCATTGCAGGCATCCTGCCACCGCGATAAGGCCCCTGCCGACATTTCAAACGGGTTACAATAGATGCTTCTGTTCCCCAACAGCAGAGGTATCCAGGCACTGCAGCACCAGTGGCTGTACACAAGGATCCGGAGTCATCAGCAATGTTTCTGTTTTACACCAGTGAAAAAGAAGCAGCTGGACACTTGGTCCTGTTCGATAACGAGCTCTCAGGGGTGGCCTGGGCCTTGGCTACAAACCCACCGGTTGGCCCAGGCCAGCAGCACAAGGTGCTATTTCTGGCTTCCCCACAGGGCTCCCCCTGACCTTGGCCAATCTGGCCGCCTCACTTCTTTGCACTTTCCCTTCCTTTCTGCGACACGAGGTACAATCAAACCTTCCTTCTCAGAGCAGGACAGGGAAGTTCCCTTCTTCTAATGTGCTTTGAAATCACATGGAAACCATTGAACACATAAAAAGTCTTTCTATGCCAGGAAGCTGCATGTTGTATTCAGCGTTAGATGAATCACGTCTTGGGGCAGTGGTCCTTCCCTTCCACTCCCCGGTGTTCCCATCCTGGCAGTGCTCCCTGTCAGGCTGCTACAGGTGCTTGTGACACAAGCAGGCTCCAGGTGTACTGATCCAACCCGATTTTTGCCCTTTTCTCACCAGGTCATGCACACTTTAACCCCTTACCGCCAGGGTGCCTGCTGAATCCAGTCCACAATGGAGCCACAGATGTACCAGCGTGACAGAGGAGTTGTGAGGAAAACAGTTCAATTAAGCAGTGCTACCACTGAATGTGAAACTATAAGGCTCAGCACTTGTGTGTGATTCGCCCTTTAACAACATGATTAACACTACAGCAAATTTAGTTTAATAATGTGAAATTTAAACAAAACCTGCAGCCAGGTTGTAGAAAAAAACAACCCAAAACCCATGTATGTGGGTCCTGACTGACTCTACTTCATGGCCTTACACTCATTGTCTGCACAGACACCCAGCTACCACATTCCTTATGCTCTCCAGTTACTCCCTGCGAGGGCAAGGCCAACTGGAGGAAGGAAGAATCCTTAATAAGGGCTATTGAATCAGGCCTTCTCTTGGTAATAGCTCTTCATAAGAGATTTTATGGGATAAATTCCATCCAGTCAGAAACACATGCATCCAGAAGCACGGTCTGTCCAAAACAGTTTGCAGAGGGCTGCCAACCTGTACAATTAATTTATTTTCAGCTCATTTCATGAGACTAACTAACGCTGCCATGCCATCTTGCACAGCAAGCACCTCCTCCTCTACACCCTGATCCAAGGACGGCAGGCTGGGCAGTGTAATCTCTGTGGAAACAGATCTCAGACCTTCCCAGCTCGCTCTCCTGTTATGTAACAAGATAAATTTGCACTCCTCATTAAGCCCAGCCAAGTTCCAGCAAACAATTTGAGTTTCTAGTCCACAGAAGGACAGTGGGGAATCTGGGAGAAATGCAAACCCCTTCATATTAATGGTAAAGATCAAAGGCTTTTCCGCAACTGACTTCTAAGCATAATTTTTTCCCTTTCATCTCTAGCTTTCTCCAGGATGAGGGAAGATTTATGCCTGGCAGTTTCACAGGGTTAGGTTTAATAGGATGCCAGGTGGCAGCTGTCAAGGCAGACTCAATTGCTCTTTCTGCTGTTTGGGAATGGGGTTGCTCTTCTTGCTACGCTTTTAGAGATTAAACCTGACATTACTTCCTAGGACTTGATTTTAAAGAAACTACCCAAACTATAAGTAAGCTAATAGCTCTGCAACTACACCCTCACGTAGCTTACATGTAAAAGTCTGTAGGTATATACACATCCATGTACCACAACACATCCACACGTCCACAAACACTTTACAGGAGAATACATGTGCTTTTTTTAGGAATAAAGGATGTTAAGCATCTTCCCTAAACTCGGTGTGAACCAGTTTCAGCTGCGAGCGGGTACCTTTCTGCTGTTTACTTTATACAGGTTCCAGAATGAACAATGTCTGCCTTTTCTCTCTCCTGCCTGTCAACGGCTCTTTCTTGTTTGTTTGTTCTACTTTTTCACCTGTGGAAAAATTCAAAGCGTATGGAGAGTTTTCTTAAAGAAGAAAAACAGAAGGAAGCTAACACGTAGCACAGCGTGCAAAGGGAGGCAACCAGAGATCGCTCTGAAAGGACTTTGCAAGAAGTCATCAAACCCACCCTCCTTCTCCAGCCACAGCCAAGTATGTTCAGATGTCCCCAGGCAAAAGTTCATCTAACCTACTATGGAAGTACTAACACACTTTAATTACTTAATCTTACTAAATAAGATACTGGGGGCAGTAAGCAAAATCAATTTTCTAATCTAAGTATTCTTTGCTAGCCAAATTAACGTGGATTGCTTGAAATGGAAAAAGCTGACCATTGCCCTCCTTATAACAGGGCACATGCCCTGTCCCTGTAACTTCCCTTCTTTCTAGGCAAAGCAAAACAATTCTTCCAATTTTTCCTCAGAAGTAGTTTTCCTAAACCTTTTTTTTTTTGTTCCAGTTCACCAGATGCTCCATCCCTGGAAACACTGAAGGGCAGGTTGGGTGGGACTCTGAGCAACCTGATCTAGTTGAAGATGTCCCCGCTCACCGCAGGGGGCTGGACTAGATGGCCTTTAGAGGTCCCTTCCAACCCAAACTATTCTATGATTCTCTCATTTTTCTGCTTCCTTCATAAATTGCGATGCCCAATAATGAAGATAGTGCACTCTGAGGCATCATCCACCATAAACAGAATATTAGAGCAATTTGTGCTTGAAGCTTAAAAAAATGAACACATCGAATGCCACTAAACACTATTAAGTACCTGCAACTCCAACAAAAGCAGGTGGTTTTAATCCTTTGTTGCCTCTGTCTGGATCATGAAAATAACTGTGGGTCTCACCTGCAAAAAGCCTCCTGTAAGCGATGATGTAGGAGTCTGAAACAAATGCATTTTATTCCTAACCTAGAAACGATCTGGAGAGAAGAAAAAAGCATCAGGGCTGCAACAAAAGGATCAGATGCTGAGTTTATGAAACTGAGCCGAGTATAACCAAAAATCTAGACAGAGACAGTCACTACAAAGGAGTCGGTGTGGAGCGACAGAGAGGAGTATCTGAGCGCGCCGTTGCATCCCCCTGCTGACATGTTCAAGGAGAGGCTTCCCCTCCCCCTTCAATCTGACAGCATGAGCTATTGCTAAGTAAATGCCAGCCACAGCCTCCGAGGACTAACAAGGAAGTCTGCAGAAGCAAAACAACCATATGTGATACTTGAACTGGTTCAGACTGGTTCAGAGACTTTGCTCCACTGACTCAAAGTGCCTTCTCGGAGAGGAGCTCTCTGTGTGGGCTGTAATAAAGGGATAGAGGCCTCGGGAGGGCAATCTGGGTCCCATTGTTTACTGGGGGAGAAGCTGCAGCCACACTGTTCTAGCATTAAGAGATTAGTGCTAAGTACTCTTGGCAATCACTGACTTAAGAAATTTCACACACTGAGTCCTCTCTAACAGCAACACTTCTTTGTCCTTTTTGTCACAAACTGCCCCAATTCCCTGGGCAGTTTTGATGGGCCCAACTGCCCTGTGGACATCTGTGTTCCCACTGGTCCCCTGTGGCTCGGGTAAAGGACTCTGCATCAGGGCCCTCCCCACTGGAGCATCCTGAAATCAGTATCTGGATCACAGACACGGCTTTTACCTGCCATCCAGCGGGTGTGTCTCCTCCCAAGATGCCATAAACCTGTAGCAATATTGTTAGGAGTAAGGTACAGCTGTCTAGAGATGTTTCAGCCCCAGCTCACACTGTGTTTTTTTTCCCCACAGACGCAGGCTGCTATTGACAAAAAACAGAGCATGCATTTTTAAGGGTGGAGGAAGGGAAGCTATTTTGAAAGATTCTGTGATCTATTTAGAGAACACATAGGTCTGCGTCAAGAAGAGGAACCTTACTCTTAAATTCTTTTACCAGTTTGTTGTTTGATCTTAGGCAGGCTTCTGCCTCAGTTTCCCATGTTGACAGTGCTTATGTCACAGAGGCAGAAGGGGTTACGCGTCTGCAAAGTCCTTTGAAAGCTTCAGACGCCACACATACCTTAGGAAGTGTTATTCAAGGGGAGGGATATCCATGGAAGGTCTTATTCAAGTTCACAAATAAGCATTAGGGCAGGAAGAAAACCAAAATGCGTTGTGTTGTTTGTTTGCTTAAGGTATAAAAGCACCTTTGTAACTTTCTTGTTTCTTGATCCACTGTTGTGCGCAGCCGTAAGTAGCAAAGCCCAGCAGTCAGATAAACCAACATTCTTTCTTGTTAGAAAATGTCAATCTAAAAATAATGGTTTATCTGCACATGAGAAAGCTCCAAAACATCTGGAGATTTGAGTCAATGGGAATAAAAGATTTCTGTTCTGATATCTGTTCAAATTAACTTCCAGTGAATTGGACAGGACTATTAAATACCCTCCTACCAATCTTTCACTCACCGTGGAAGCTGATCTGGCAGTCAAACAGAAGTGACAGCTCAAAACTCTGCTGATCAAACTTCAGTAATCATGGAATATTATCAAAGTAAGAGTTCGATTCCATTGTGGAAAGCGTGAGGGTACAGAGTTGCACTTATATATGCAAAACTTCCGGTTCCTGCAGAAAATACACCAGGTCTAAACAGCACAAAATCACTCATTATAGGTGACCCACAGCCCATGCCAACAGAAAGGCAATAAAGTTACAAACTTGTATACATAAAAAAAACCCCAAACATATATATTCTTATTTATCAAAGGTTTTGGGACTAGGATTGGGGTCATCAACGTAAGAGCTGAGCAGAGACCCATTTGGTAATGAGTGTCTGTAATTCAACACGCGAGCAGAGCAGCAGAGACCAAACCTTTCCGTAGAGCTACTAGTGTTTCCTCATAAAGCGCAGGATTCACGGACATTTACAATGCAGAGCGCTCACCTTCGGATTTTATTTTCTTAGCTGACCTGAAAGCAGATAAAGCCATCAGCACACGGGTACCCTGCAAAACCTCTCTCCCCACAGGTGTTTGCCTGAAGGCTGTGGGAGGAGTTGTTTATTTTGGGAAGTTGCCCTTTCTTTCTTATGTAGAAAGGCAAACCTGTTTATTTTCTCCCCGGGTTGCACACATGCCATAGGCATGCAGGGAGAGCCTTTTCAGGACTCAGATATGCACGTGGACTTTTTTACATCTATTGACAAAAGCAAAGACTCTGTTCCTTAAATATGTTTTCAGAATAAGGCATATCTCTGTTGTTATTTTGGTCTTGAGTTTGCCTTTGTGTTAGAAAGTTAAGGTCCTATTTTGCCAAAGGAGGAAGGAACAAAGGCTTAGTGAAGTTTCACCTCATACTTCACTTCTTTCTTTTGGATATAATGGTGTTGAGTTAGAACACAGTGCATTTGACTAATGACCTAGCACCCGAGGCAGGCAGGCCAGAAGCATTGCAAAAATACATTTATATATCCTGTCTCATTTTTATTTTCACCGCCTTCCAGGCATTCAATGAGGACAACACCAAACTTCACACAGATACTCGTTACTTCATCCACTTATGCTAAAATATTGTAGGAAATCTCATCGTGCAGCCCCAGAGAAGGGATTTTCTAGTCAAGATAAGACCATCTCGATGCACAATGTTGTGACCTGCCCGTGACGCTACGGGTTTTCAGATAGAACTGTGGAGATGGGCAAAGACAGGAATTGTCTCTGAAAAGAGCAAGATTTCGAGATACGAGAAATACAGGCTGTCTCTCTGTGCACTCATGGTCTCTACTCTCCGTCTCCAGGAAATGAATGCATGCAGCCTGCAGAGTTTAATTCTCTTTTGGTTTATTACTATTTAAAAATCAGTTTTTGTATCCCCTTCTACAGAGGCTTCACCTTCCAACAGAACATACAAAAAATACACACAATAAAAAAAAAAAAAAAAAGATAGGTAGGTAAGTTGCTTTATACAAACAGGTCCCTAAGAACCCAAAAAGGCTAAAACAGGCTCGGTTTCAATAGAAGCAGGCCCGTAAATAGGCAAGAGACTTCATTCAAGTAGGGAAAGAGTCATCCATCCTCACCTAAGATCCTTTCTTGCTCACACTGAAGACGACGGGAGGATTCCCAACAACTTCAGTAGAAGCAGGATTGGGATTCATCAGAGCCAATGGCAAACTTTTCTGCTCCTTCCCTTCCAAGGCACTGTCTCTTCCATACGGCGTGCAGCCAGGGAAAAATGCCAGTTTTCCTGGCTCATCCCACGCTCATGTTTCAGTTGTTCACTCTACAGGATGTCTGAGAATAGCCTTTTATTTTCTCTCTTACACTGTGTATTTGCACTAGTTGCAGCAAACTTTCAGATTACAACAGTACTGAAGAGAAATTCTGAGCCCAAGAGCAAGGCTTGGTTGATTATTTAAGAGCCAGCAGTCGGTCTGACAACTTTGCAGAGGGCATGTAAAAATTGCCTGGAGAAGGCACCAGTTTGTAGACACAGCAGCCAAAAACCTCTTAGCAAGCATGAGACTGATTTATTATAAAAACACTTACCCAAGCTCACTATGTGACTGCAAGAAGCTCAAGAGCTTTTATGGCTGCCAGTGGCTGTATGAAGTGACCCCATGGTCCACATGGCACCCAGGAGCTGTGAAGGAGGCACTGGAACATCACTGAGACACCAGTTTACCTCCTTCCTTCAGCACATCTCAGCTCAGAGCACTTCCAGGTCTCCAAAACTGCAGTACAAGTAGAGAGGCTGCCCAAGAAAAGCTCCATTCACATAAACCCTGAGAGCAGATCAATAGTGCCAGGCAGTCTTTTAAAGTAATTTAAATATTTCACCTTTCAGGAAAAATGTGGCCAAATGTTTGTTTAACTTTGCATCACGCCTGAAGTCAGCGAGGCCAACGGTTTGTAGCAGAGTTCAGCAGCACAACCGTGCAGCACAATTTGGCACGTCAGTCAAATCTTGAAACGTTCTTACCCAAGGGTTATCATCTCATTTTATAGATGGGAACAAAACACAGGACGAGGCCAGAGATGACACGAGGTGTTAATTCTTTACCAACAGCCAGTCATTATCTGCTACCACAGAGCAAACAACTGTGGTTTTTCACTAATGTGCTTTAACCATTCCAGCCATCACCACAACCCTGAACAGCCAGGGTTCCTGCTCCTGTTCCACACCACTTTCCAGTTATGCCACATAATTTTTCAAGTTGTTGGGTTTTTATGTTGTTGGTTTGGGTTTGTTTTTTTTTCCTCTTTTTAGCCAAATAGTTCTCAGGTTTGTCTTACAGCTAACACAGTTACTGGCAGAGCTGTACACGTCTGGGCAGGTCCCACACTGGCACAGGAACGGGGAGGGGGTGAATGTGTCACGGGAGCAGGCAGGAAGACATGACATCACGCCAACGTGGCTGCTGCTGACTCTGCGACAATAACGGTGGCCTTGGGCTGGGGCTCAGAGGCGCTGCCTCCTCCGGGTCCCAGGCTCAGTGCCCCACAACACACAAACTGCCTCCTCACAGGGACGCGGAGCAGCGGCTTGGGCTGAAAGCCAAATCTATTCCCAAAGGCTCATTCGCAATAGCTGAAGGATCTTGTTTTGAAAAAGATGTTCAGGATAAAAATCAGGACTCTCTCAGGAGACGTGGGAATCTTCCAGAATCTGTTTTCCCTTTTAAGTTTTCTTATTGTTTTTATTCCCTCTTTGCTCATTTGTTTTGTCTCTCGGGGTGGAACTGAAAAGCCATAAGCTCAGAGATTCACTGTGAGCTTATGTTCTGTTCAATTAAAACTCAGGTACTGTGCCCAGGCAAAAGGTGAATGGTACAAAGCTGGCTTAATTTACATTAAAATGTTCATAATGCTGTTAAGGTATATTCATAATGCTGAGGAAGCCAACATATTCCATGGTTTTGTTTGGCACTTGCTCTCAGAGTTTTTGCCACGCTGAAAATTTGAAAATATCTGGTTATTTTTGTGGGTGACAAAGAAAAGCCATTCCTGTTTCATTACTTAAAATTTTGGTAGCTGTTTTTTACTTTGTCCATTTATCTCTCATGAAACCCAAAGAGAGCTCTTGCTCTCCATTCGTTCTTCCAACACTGAAGTCTGGAGTTCCTTTGACGTTTACTTTGGCATCTACTTCCTCAAGCAAGCACCTTAAAAAAAAATTAAAGCTGAAAGTGGTACCCCACTCCAGACTCAAGACATAAGTTCAGATATTGATTTCTAGGAACAAAGATTTAGTGAAAAAACAAGACACTAAAGTTACAACAGAGCCTACAAAATCTAGGTTAGCTTTCATACTATCAATTCAATTAGTTGAGTTAGATAGACATTCAGTTACACAGCTCTTCTATTCAAGTCATTCCTTACTGCTGACAGCAGTTGAGAGAGGAACAATAATTTCAGGGAATACGTGGGAAATAACAAATATTCCCTAAGTCACTGGCACTCAAACAGGTCTAAAATTGTGACTGGGCATTTGCAATTATTCAAAAGATCGGTAGGAAGACCAACTCCACACCATCTTATAGTTCTAGGCTTGAAAAAAACAAACTAAACAATCACACACCCCCCCCCAGCACATAATACTTTGCCCTATTATAGTTAAGGCACTGGATTGAGAGAAGGAAAAATCTGTGTTCAATTTCTGGTTCTGCTATCAATTTCCCACGTCATCATGGGCAAATCACTTAAGAGTGAGAGCTCACACGCACCACGTTACCATGCCTAAGGTGAGCCACACTAGTAAGTCTGTCTGTACACATCTAGCACATGACAAATGCAAGGTAATGTCACTTAACTGAACTCAGTATGGAATAAATTCACATTAAATTGCTTTACCTTGCATTTGTTGTGGATTAACAGTACCTAAAGATAAATTACTTCAGGCAACAAAAGAAGCCTAATGATAAGCCTGTGCCCCTACAACACAACACTTAGGCATGCAAGCAAGCGGTGTTTAGTCGTTCATCTTTATTTCACCTATATTCACCTTATGTTCACCTATAAGCATCAATTCCTTTCTTGTCTATCTTTAGTGTTTAGATTAGAAATGGCTGAAGATGTTTTCATCATACCCAGTACACAAGGGTCTGAGTCTCAGCTGAGCTGTTTAAGGACTCCTACAATACAAAGAAATACTACAATTCTGATTATCAAAATTTGTATGACCTGAAATTCCCTTCTCGGCAGAGAAGTGCACCGACTCAAAGGTTGGATTGTATTCCCGCCAAAGAAGATGACAAAAAAAGGAAGGCTGGCCCAAAATGAGAACTATCATCTATACATTGATACACCAATTTAAAATTGTAATAGAAACAAGTTAAGTGAGGTTGCAGCTTGGGGCGTTTTAAGTATTCCCCTTTGAATTCTGAACTTATGAGGCTGAGCTTTCTGTTTGGATCCATCTGTCCTATGAGAAGCTGACATTTCCCAAAGTACAGAATATAAAGAATTTGCATATAGATTAACTCACCATCCAGGATGGAACAATACCCTCCCAAAGCAGCAAAAAGCTCTGAAAACACACACCACTGCTAAAGATCTGCCTAATCTACCGCTGGCACTAGTCTCTGCACTAGGATGATCTAGAACTGCCAATTCAGGATTGTTAACTTCCGGCTAATTGTTTCCCTGCCCAGTAGACTGAGAAGTAAGTACTTTTAATTCAATGTATTAATGACAACTTAGTAAGCGTTTTCTTTGACAAGCAAAATGCAGTTAGTGTTTTAGAAGGCCTCCTTTTTAGTTCAAGGCTTTTCATTCGTTTCATCAGGTCAAATTCTGTAGCATTCAGAATTAAATTCTGATACACACGGCCAAAATTCAACCCACTAGTAATACTTAAGTCAGTGGAGCTAAATGTAGGATGAAAATATCTTATATTCTAGATGTGGCTTTTGGAGTTGAATCTTATGACTAGTGCACCCTCTTTGAGTGCACATGGGAACACTGGGGACACAAACTTCTTATATTTTTCAGAATACAGCCTCAATTCAACAGAAGTTTTCCTGGTGGCTTAAGTATGAGCTATTAGTAAATCAGAGAGACTGCAGCTCCATTTACTAATCCCAATGACTTGTGCTGACTGGAAAGCCTGCTCTTGACTTGCTTGGCAGTTTACAAGATTGTTTCATCATGGTCTAGATTTGTAAGGTACTTGAAAATGTTTTGTTACCTTTCTGAAATGTCCTGTTTCTACTTGTCACTAAGCTTACCAGTACAGCAATAGCAATTCCACGAAGCTTTAGTTTGAAGGCGACTTGGTTTGGTTTTTGGATTTTCCCCCCTTTTGAATGAGACTCATACCTATTCCAGGGATTCTGGGGGAAGATGGATGGAGAAGAACATGTCCTTCAGTCTCTCAACATAGATTAATAGCAAAACATCAAGTCCACTGCAACATGCTCTCAATTTAGAAAGTGCTGGTGCTATAAAGAGAAAGCCATTGATTATTCATCCTTGGTTGATAATACTCGAGAGCAAGTACAAAAAAGTAGCTTCTTACAAGAGAAGCTAGGGGGTTTAAATCTGTAGAATTTAAAACGTCATTCCAAAATTCATATACCTACAAAAGGTCTATAATTCCAACATAAAAACAAGACAGTAATCTGGCTTATTTCAGTTAATGTATTAGTTGCACCTGGGCAACTCAGGTCGTGGCGCAACAGCAGTTTGTGGCTGTGTTCACATTTAATACAGACATATCTCCTGCAGAGGATATAGGTCCTGGTCTGAGGTGGCCTGTCCTGCTCCAGCACTGCATTAACGATGGAGACAGCTATTGTTTAATAGAATGCAAGTCTGGTGTGGGACTTGGGCTTTTCAGAGGGGTTTCTAGAATGTTTCTAGAAACATTCAGTACACATTGCAACTTAGTTTACCAAATCGCTGCATAAATCTTTGCTCATTAACCCTCACAACAATTGTGGTGTAGAGAAAACTCCTCACAGATGGGAAATTAAGGAATAAATTCAGTGAGCTGTCCTATGTGACCTTGAGCATCAACAGCAGAACCATAATTATAACTCAGAGTATTCCTAACTCCTAACCCTGTGTTAAACAACATTTATACCTGGATTTGGTACATAAAGACCATGACAAGTTACATGGGAGCAAAGGGAGGGCAAAGAAAAGACATTATTTCTGCACAAGTGGTATTTTCAGATTAAATGGAACCTTCAACAGCCTAGAGCCCAGCTTCTTTGCATTTTGTAATCAGTTCTTTTTCAGAGATATGCAATTCCCTTCTCTTACAGTAGAAACCCTTCCTCCTTGGAAAAGAAAGGAGTAAGACTGGCTTTTGCAAACCTGACTACAGGCAGATAGGAGAGCACGACTGTGCCAAAAAGCCCAGGTCACTGAGAATAAAGTAGAGTGTAGAGAGGGATTTGTGTCTTATTTACTGGTTCTCATTTGCACACCTTTCGGACAGGTGGCTAAATTGCTCAAAAACCAGACAAAACGAGGGGATGCAAAGTAACATACTAACTTCTTTAATAGAGTCCAATCCAATTAAACCAAAAATCACTCTGTGAACCCCTGGGTTTATTCACACTAAACAAGTCAGTGGTACATAGTGTTAACCCGATAGCTGATCGTGTTTATACCCTACGTCCCCACATGAAAAATGAGCACCAGTCAACCAGACTGCAATGGTATTTCTCTTCCTTTTTTTTTTCCTTTTTTCTTTTTTCATAAAACTATTTCTTTCATAGACTTAAAACAATCAACTAGCCAAGTTATTAATTATGGTACATCTAAAAAAAAAAAAATTAATACTAACCCTAGTGTGACTGCTGCTTTAAGAGTGCTCTGTGTATCGCCTTAGACTGGCTTTTCAGTAGCAATTTACTACAACAGGTCCTAAAATAATAATAATAGAGAATTAAAAACCTGACAGCAAGTTTAATGGTTAAAAGTAATAAAAACAACCTGTTCTGAATGGTAATTTTTTTCAGCAGTTCAGTCCTGCTGCAGCACTCACAGCCTCACAAATTGCAGAAGGGGTTCAAATTCTCTCACCTTCTTTAAATTTTTCTGTTTTAAAAAAGGACAACTGCATCGTAACCTGCTAGGTACCGGGGCATTTTACTTAATGTTATATTCAATAATGGGACAATAATGGGTCTGTTTTAAAAACTTACTGTTTTTTCTGGGGTAGGTTAGGGAAGGTGGGGAATAGGGAGAGAACAAAAAGCATCGCTTCCTGTAGCTGTAGCTCCCCAGGTGCCTTGGTCACTAGGACCATCTAATACTCAAGATTTATTCTAGAAGACCATGACAAAACACCAGCAGCAGCCTCTAAAGCTCCATTTGGTGTTTTAGGTCACGTCTCCTATTCAAGGTCACCATCTTCTGTAATTTATCAGCTAAGAAGCATTTTCTCCTTCTCCCCAGTGAGGGTTTAAAGGTGGGGTAGGGCACGAGACAAAGAGGGAAGCTAAAATGAATAAAAAATTCTCAGCTATAGAACCAAATTTCATTATTTCCTCTTTCGTTCACAGCATCTTATCATTATAGCCAGACTGCTGCTTTGCTTTGTTAAGATCACTCTGATCTCATTTCCCCTCTGGCCCCATTGGTTGCTGGTCGACCTCTGGATCCACTAGGGATGATGCAAATGCTGACTGGACGATCTGAAACCCAAATGACTCCAGGAGAGACATGTTCTGTTGGGGTGAAAAGGGGGATCCTAGAGCAGGACCAAGGTCCCCCAATGGACCACCGAGGGCCCTGACGTGAACTTTCTGTATGTGTTTGTTCAGATAAGACTTTGATCTGAAAAAGCTGCCACATTCGGGGCAAGGGTACTTCTTCTCCGCTTCCGTCTCCATTTTGTTTTTGCTGACTGCCATGTCACACGAGAAGGACCCATTGGTGCTCTGTTTCTCGGGAGTCTTGAGGTCACTGGTGTCAGAGAGGTCTCCATATGAATCAGAACTCTCAATCGGGTCCGAATGTGAACATTTCTGGCCTTCTACAGGAAAAAGAAGAGAGACACATTTTCAGAATCTCATCTCCCAAACATTTAATGTGCATTCAAACAGATAATATTGATTACCACTTGATTTCATTAATGCCTGTCATGCCGGAATGATACACACTTAACAGTGCAATCCTTTATATTCTAAAGCCCTTAACCATAGGTTCTCTTTTCAGAATCTCATCTCCCAAACATTTAATGTGCATTCAAACAGATAATATTGATTACCACTTGATTTCATTAATGCCTGTCATGCCGGAATGATACACACTTAACATAGCAATCCTTTATATTCTAAAGCCATTAACCATAGGTTCCCTTTTACAAAACCACCAGGATGTTATCAGAGCAACATCAAGGAGTTTATTATGGATTCGTCATGATACTGAATGCATCCATAATGAGTCTCTGGTTTATATAATACTTTTTTGAATCCCAAAGATGTCTCACAATGTTTATACCTCTGGATCTACAAAAGGATGGCCCTAATGATGACTGTACAAGTCACTCCCACACTTCTGAATATTACTGATACTTTGGTGAAGAGCATAGAAACCTAATAAAGTATAACAGGCTGGCTGCAGCAATACATGAAGAAACCTGGAAATACTCAACAAAACAGCAGCGAGCTGCTGCGATTTAAGAAGTGCAATTTCAATTAGTCTTGAGGAACTCTTTTTCGCAAGTGCACCTTCATAATCTAAAATTGTTCCATCTTTAAATACTGTAGTGTGAAAGAGGAGAGAGGTTAGGGACACTATTTTAAGTCATTTGGATACATCTCCTGGCAAAGCCATTGGTATGTTTGGAGCGTTCCCGTTCTCCCCTGGCAGGATGCCAAGAAAGTTTGTCCACACTTTTTGCTCAGCGCATATGAATGAGCGTGGGAAACCCGGACGTACTCCCTAAACGAGTCCCTGAATACAAATAAGCCCTATCTACTATTAACTCCAAAAGACCAAAGAACCACTTGGCACAACCCAAAAGACAGATTTGCTCTGGACTCGGCATTACAAACCAAACAGGATATGCATGAAATCAATACACCACTGAGCTGGAGTAAATCTCTTGTTAAGTCCCACCCAAAACCAAAGGGCTTCTGTAGTAACTCTATCAGGACTTCAACAGAAAAAAAAATTACATAACTGTAGCTTTCTGCTGGCACAGACTTTGTTTAACCCAGCTTGTTGTGTTTGCCCGGGCAACAAAAAAAATAACTTTTTGGAACAACCATGGTTTTGAAGAGTTTTCTGATGTTTCAGCTTCACCAGAAATACTGACAGCTCAAACCAAGGCAAAAAAAGCAAGCTATTCTACATAGATTAACACACTGCTTTACATATTCAGAAGTTAAACACTCTTTATAGTAACTCTATCAGGACTTCAACAGAAAAATATTACACAACTGTAGCTTTCTGCTGGCACAGACTTTGTTTAACCCAGCTTGTTGTGTTTGCCCGGGCAACAAAAAAAATAACTTTTTGGAACAACCATGGTTTTGAAGAGTTTTCTGATGTTTCAGCTTCACCAGAAATACTGACAGCTCAAACCAAGGCAAAAAAAGCAAGCTATTCTACATAGATTAACACACTGCTTTACATATTCAGAAGTTAAACACTCTTTAGCTATTTTTAAAATAATATAATCTTATAAGCTTTTTGAACTGTATTCTGCAGCTCCCGCTTCCTTCACCACAAACATGGTTTGACTGACACGAGATTCAAGTATAGTAGGACTAAAGATCTGCACCCTTCAGGCAAAATTCAAATATTGACTGCTCCTAGGAAGATGGTCAAGATGAACTAACATGTTTTTTTCAATCTCTAAAATCAAAGAAGCCGCCAAAAATTCATGTACCCTTAAGTGTCCACCTCCTTCCCCCAGACTTATTGTATCAGCTACCCAAGGACAGATATGATATACTATGTGACGCTACATAATTTGTCTGCATCTTCCTGAGCTTCTCTCCAGTATTTCCCCGTCCTTCCTCCCTCCCCTTTCTCACGCCCAGCCCAACATCCCACAACACAAAGTTCTGCACAGAGCAGCAAGGTGCAGAGCAGCGAGTCTCTTGCCTTTGATGCCATAGGTCCTGACGCAGTGGAACGCTGCTCCCCCATTCGGGATGGACTCCTGGTGCCTGGAGACCTGGGGAAGGGGAACACCGTGGTGGGTTTTAACATGGACCTTTAAGTAGGAGGCAGAGGAGAAACCTAAACAAGATAAAAGGAGATGAGATCCTGCCACCAGCAAAGACACACATCTGCCTTCCCTGTTCTTTTAATCTTTGTCCTGCTCTTAGTCCCTATTACAAAGTTGCCATTATATTAGCTTGAGTTCTGCTTCCCTAAAATACACTCACGTAGGATTTCTAGACATAATCAGGCAATGAACGCAAAGAGTAACTTTCATTAGACTTCATTTGCTTTTTGGAAGTCATGACGAAAGAACAGCCTCCTTAAGAAACAAATCCTACAGTGCATTCAAACAGATAATATTGATTACCACTTGATTTCATTAATGCCTGTCATGCCGGAATGATACACACTTAACATAGCAATCCTTTATATTCTAAAGCCATTAACCATAGGTTCCCTTTTACAAAACCACCAGGATGTTATCAGAGCAACATCAAGGAGTTTATTATGGATTCGTCATGATACTGAATGCATCCATAATGAGTCTCTGGTTTATATAATACTTTTTTGAATCCCAAAGATGTCTCACAATGTTTATACCTCTGGATCTACAAAAGGATGGCCCTAATGATGACTGTACAAGTCACTCCCACACTTCTGAATATTACTGATACTTTGGTGAAGAGCATAGAAACCTAATAAAGTATAACAGGCTGGCTGCAGCAATACATGAAGAAACCTGGAAATACTCAACAAAACAGCAGCGAGCTGCTGCGATTTAAGAAGTGCAATTTCAATTAGTCTTGAGGAACTCTTTTTCGCAAGTGCACCTTCATAATCTAAAATTGTTCCATCTTTAAATACTGTAGTGTGAAAGAGGAGAGAGGTTAGGGACACTATTTTAAGTCATTTGGATACATCTCCTGGCAAAGCCATTGGTATGTTTGGAGCGTTCCCGTTCTCCCCTGGCAGGATGCCAAGAAAGTTTGTCCACACTTTTTGCTCAGCGCATATGAATGAGCGTGGGAAACCCGGACGTACTCCCTAAACGAGTCCCTGAATACAAATAAGCCCTATCTACTATTAACTCCAAAAGACCAAAGAACCACTTGGCACAACCCAAAAGACAGATTTGCTCTGGACTCGGCATTACAAACCAAACAGGATATGCATGAAATCAATACACCACTGAGCTGGAGTAAATCTCTTGTTAAGTCCCACCCAAAACCAAAGGGCTTCTGTAGTAACTCTATCAGGACTTCAACAGAAAAATATTACACAACTGTAGCTTTCTGCTGGCACAGACTTTGTTTAACCCAGCTTGTTGTGTTTGCCCGGGCAACAAAAAAAATAACTTTTTGGAACAACCATGGTTTTGAAGAGTTTTCTGATGTTTCAGCTTCACCAGAAATACTGACAGCTCAAACCAAGGCAAAAAAAGCAAGCTGTTCTACATAGATTAACACACAGCTTTACATACTCAGAAGTTAAACACTCTTTAGCTATTTTTAAAATAATATAATCTTATAATCTTTTTGAATTGTATTCTGCAGCTCCCACTTCCTTTACCACAAACGTGGTTTGACTGACACGAGATTCAAGTATAGTAGGACTAAAGATCTGCACCCTTCAGGCAAAATTCAAATATTGACTGCTCCTAGGAAGATGGTCAAGATGAACTAACATGTTTTTTTCAATCTCTAAAATCAAAGAAGCCGCCAAAAATTCATGTACCCTTAAGTGTCCACCTCCTTCCCCCAGACTTATTGTATCAGCTATCCAAGGACAGATATGATATACTATGTGACACTACATAATTTGCCTGCATCTTCTGGAGCTCCTCTCCAGTATTTCCCCATCCTTCCTCCCTCCCCTTTCTCACGCCCAGCCCAACATCCCACAACACAAAGTTCTGCACAGAGCAGCAAGGTGCAGAGCAGCGAGTCTCTTGCCTTTGATGCCATAGGTCCTGACGCAGTGGAACGCTGCTCCCCCATTCGGGATGGACTCCTGGTGCCTGGAGACCTGGGGAAGGGGAACACCGTGGTGGGTTTTAACATGGACCTTTAAGTAGGAGGCAGAGGAGAAACCTAAACAAGATAAAAGGAGATGAGATCCTGCCACCAGCAAAGACACACATCTGCCTTCCCTGTTCTTTTAATCTTTGTCCTGCTCTTAGTCCCTATTACAAAGTTGCCATTATATTAGCTTGAGTTCTGCTTCCCTAAAATACACTCACGTAGGATTTCTAGACATAATCAGGCAATGAACGCAAAGAGTAACTTTCATTAGACTTCATTTGCTTTTTGGAAGTCATGACGAAAGAACAGCCTCCTTAAGAAACAAATCCTACATAAACAAAACTAACAGATGACATTAAACCTTCTGGAAAAAAAAAGGCAGAAGAAACATGATACAAAAAGGCACCAGTATCTCTTCACCATTTTTGTACTGTTTAACACCCCTTTTTTGTATTTAGTGTGCTTTCTCCTTGTGCTTCTAGCATTTATAGTGACCCCTAGAAGGCAGAAAGCTAAAACCACAGAGTTTTTAAGGCATACAATTTTGTTCTTTTGTAATTTTTGAAAAACATTTCCTCCATTGAGCTCATCCCGAGTTTCAAAAAACGTACTAAAACTCATACTCAATCTGCAGTTAACAAAATAAAAAAAATTAAACAAAATGTCAATATTTCTATTAGCTCTGATATTAAAACCACATATTTCAAACAACTGATTTCTGAACAAAACATTTTTTACATTGGTGCATGTGCTTTTTCAAATTGTTTTTGAAGTCTCACCAATACAGTCTTTTCCTTTAATGCAATAAATTATTTCACATATATTTTGGAATGTTTTTAAATTCAATTTTAATAAGATTTGCAATTAGTACTAGTACATTTGGACCATATACGAAATATAAATAATAATATTATAACGATATATAATTTTCTATTATATTTTGAACAGAATATTATGGTGCTTTCATGTTAGAAACATTTTTCTTCAACAACAGAGAACACAACACAAGTTGCACCAGCACAGAAACAAAGTTCCAGGTTCCCCGGAACCTGGAATTGGATAGGGAAAATCCAATACCTAGATTTTTTTAAACCAATACAGCATTCACAGCACAGGCCCTTGCAAGAGAACTTTCATATCAATGATTCGCTTTAAATGTGAATAGTCAAGCCATTTTTATAGTGATATGACTGCATTTACATTTGAAGATGTATAATAATGTATTAGGAAGGATGCAAAACCAATACTGGCAGACCTCTCTGGGGTGGATTTTCTCACAGCAGCTCTTAGGTTCAGGTGCTGAATTTAATAATGAATGTTGCTTTACACTAGAATTTTCTGTGCCTATCCAACAGAATATCCCTCTACCCACACTTTTCTTAAAAGCCAGGATCAAAGAGTATTCAGGGGTTATTCAGAATTATATATAAAGGACCTGCAGAGCAAGACAGAACTCCATGGCAACTTGCTGAAGGGGAAAAAGGTCAGGTTGCTGAGAATGGACAAGAGATAGTTACTGTAGACCCCTGAGTTGAAGATAAAAGTACAGAAGATACATCACAATTGCAGAGACTAAAAACATACGACTCTCAAAATACAATGGAGCAGAAACACCTAGGCCAAGTCGTCCAGGGAATTAATGTAAGGGTATTGCCCTCTGAAATAATGCAAACCTACCCTCAGACACAAAATGCTGGACTGCTCACTGGGCCACAAGAGAATATCATTTTCCAAATATAAAAAATTCACTACTGAAGACTGGAAAGAACCAGTGTTTGACTGTCAGAAAAAAGGACACAATGTCCAGATATAATGGTGATACCTTCAACTACGAGGTACTTTCCTTATTTCATACATGTGTCTTATAAGCACATGCATGTCGAGATGAGCCTTTTTATGCAGCAATGCACTAAAATGTCCCTGCCAACCATTAAAAAAGGATTACATGCAGGTAGTCAGTGTTTGTCTGTACTACAACTGACACAGAAAATCCAAAGCTGTAATCTCTGCTATACAATATTGTTTCTGAACTCTGCAAATTCTATTTGTAGAGTACATTGTTTTATATAATGGAAACTGCCTGCAAAGTGTGTTAGCTCCCCTTTATGCACTTGGCAGATGAACATGTGAGTCATCAACTTCCATCAAAGCAGTAAGAATGCCAACTGCTTCATAGGAAGCTGTTTGAAGTGAGATTTTTTGGTTGTTGTTTTTATCCTATTTTTTTTCCTGAAGCACTTAGCACTGGCCTTTTTTTTTCCCACCAGACCTTAATTATGAATGTCTGTCCTAGGAAAATGGGGAATTCATAGACAATAATATTTTACTTTAAAAAAATCTCCTTAAAAACAAAGTCAGGCTAATGCAGAGGATTAAGTGGCAGTATCTTTCAACAAATAAATACATTTACTGATTATCCATACACATCTCTCACCTTTGCAGTGCAGATTATTTCTTTATACCAAAGGAACCAACATTAAAAACATGCATAGAGAGGAAATTATCTGCTTTATATAAATGGGACCTATTCCTTGATCCCTTGGATAACATCTATTAGGAGGCAGACTACAGAAACAATTGCAAGATGCTCCTCTTCCAAAAACTCTAATTTGAATTTAGCTAGAACATCCAGAGTATGTGTCTTGCTTTAAATCAACTCTGTGTCCACCATGAAATATGCAAGAATTCATCTTATTGTAAAAAAAAAAGAAAAAAAAAAAACATCTAACTTTTGATTGGAGTATTTACCCTTCTCCCAACTCATTTGATTTCTGTGGAAAACACCACCACATATATGTCTGAAACAGAATATGAATCTTCCAAGATGCACATGTTATTACAAAGTACCAGTTCTAGACTTGACAAATTCATTAATCTCTTAAATTATTTAAAAAAGCCTACACAAGCAAATAAAATTCCTCAGGATGCTAATAGAAGATTATGTGACACCAAAGCAGGAGCAGGTCTTTTTTATTTAAACTGATTAAAGATACTTTGTCTTAAAAAGTGAGGATGGAGGATTACTTTTCATAAGCATATTTTAGATGAATTATTAAAAAAAAAATATTAAAAAAAATCAGAAAATCCCAGAAAAAAACCCTCATTGCACAGCTTCCCTGGTTTAACAAGATTTAATTGCTTCCATAATTATTCTAAGCATAAAGACCCTAAGGCAAGAAAATAACCTGGCAAAAAACATCAAATCATAGATGGTATTTTTTGGACATTATGCTGCCATTTTGTAAAATAAATAAATAAATAAAACCAGCAAATAGGTACATGCACGACATGGCAAACCAGTGGCTAATGCTTTCACTCAGGTAGAGTTCCCCCATCTCCTAAATCCATTAAAACTTTAAAAGAACATGAGACACTTCATCGATTAAGTTCCACAGAAAAGCCCTCAGTCTGATGGGATAAATTGAGGGGTTCTAAGTTCTGTCTTTAACACTCAGATGTGTTCAACTGTGCAAGACACGCAAGACACACCGCATCCACTTTTTTTTTTTTGGTGGGCCAGTATCCAAAATTCTCCCTACAAGCAGCTTGAGCATTCTTGCTTGACAATTACTATAACCAGAACCAGCTAAATTCCAATTCAGAAATGCCAGGACATTAGCTGAGGGAAGAATAAAACAAAATCCCATTGCACAAGCACCATAGCCACGACAAAATCGCAGCTGTGGAACTTCTGACTGCACCAATACCTATCAAATAGATATTTCTAATCCAGAAATTTTTGACTATACTTCATTTTACCAGGTTCTACAATTTATAAGATATCTATTTAAAACAATGTACATTATAATTTGATTCTAGAACATGTTGGATTAAAAATTCTGCTGTCATGGATCATAAATCTATAATCAAAATTCACATAATATAATAATGAATTCATAACAGTTGTTTGATAAATGCAGTCTGTAACTTCCCTTTCCTACGAATTTTAACACTAGGTACATACTTAACAATAATTCACCAGATTAATTACATTTTCTAAGTGCTGATCGAAAATCAAATTCGCAGGTGACTAAATTCTGACAACACATAAGAAATACACAAACGGTAAGGAGAAAGTAGTTGCTTATCGTTTGCTGTACAACAGGTTCTCTACCCTTCTACAGAGAAGTGTATGTTTTATTTAAGTTTCCAGTGTACATTTAAACCTGTAAAATGTGAATAAATCATTTAGTCATTTCATTGTTTAAATGCCAGATCTGTCTTTGTCATGCAGGCTGAATTTCCAAAGAGCTGCAGTGACATCCAGTGGTAGTTAAGTTGAAACTCAAGCTTACAAATCTTGGAACTGAGACAATTCCTCCCAACCCATAGGAGTTTTTGTTTGGCACCACGTTCAACTGAAGGGGAGCAGGATAGCACATGGATCTTGGATAGCGCTTTCCATGTGTGTTACCACAAAACCAATCAGGATAAGCTTAAGCAGTTTTTCAGAATAAAGCCCTTCAGCTGAAAAGGAAGCCAAGCCTTATTTTGTACCATCTACCTGAAGCCTCAGAATCCAAAGTTTTCCAACCCAGATGCCTTTTCCACTCAAACTGTTAACATCACTTTCAGGACCTAACAGACGGTTCAACTGCTTGAAATACCTCCCTTGCAATTTAATGTCTCTCATTACTCATCAACTCCTAGTCAGCCAAAAGCTCCCTGAAAGTCCTCACATTAAATACAGAACAGCTTTATTCTCTCAAAAGATTTCACCTCCCTCAAATTAGAAATAGGAACACACATCATAAAACAAATGACTCATCAGAAAAAAAACAAGATCCCAAAACACAGCAGCAACATCTTCCAACACTTACTAGGTCTGTATGCCTGTGTGAGCCAACAATATTTTGAAGTTGCGTATTAATAATTTTTAAAAAAGACATCAATAAGTCAGAAATATTTTTCCAACTTGCTTTACATCCCACAAAGCCTAAATTTACAACTCTCTCCAACTGAAGAGTACCACAAACAGATGGAAAAGCTTCAAAGTCTGTATGCCTGTGTGAGCCAACAATATTTTGAAGTTGCGTATTAATAATTTTTAAAAAAGACATCAATAAGTCAGAAATATTTTTCCAACTTGCTTTACATCCCACAAAGCCTAAATTTACAACTCTCTCCAACTGAAGAGTACCACGAACAGATGGAAAAGCTTCAAAAGCTCTTCGTCATATGGTTTAGTTTTAGGTAGTCCTGCAAGGTGCAGGGAGTTGGACTCGATGATCTTTATGGGTCCCTTCCAACTGGAGATACTCTATAGTTTTATGAAAATTTGTATTTGTACAAATAAAGGTAAAGCACATTTCTAGTACTCTTTACAAAATTTGTTTTAGAAATGTACATTAATACAAAGCAATTTCTTGGGTTAAGAGGGAGAAGCTGCTTGACTCTACTGCTGCACCAGGAGGTTAAGCAAGACTGATAACACAGTGTAGATCTTTTTTAAGCAGAGTGTATAATTTTCAAGTTGGTGTGTATTTCAAAGATTCTTCTTCCAAACTGAATGCAAGGACTCAAGTCTAACCAGGTATAGAAAAAAAACCAAAAACGTTTACGGTGAATAGCAGCAAGGGAACAGACCATGGTTATTTTATAAGGATCTGTCTATTTGGCAAATAAAATTATTAAAACTGTCTAGAAAATTTGCTTCAGATTTAAACTGAGCTTCTTCAGGAACTATCAAGCATGTAAAAAGCCTAGACCTATAGCTTGATCAGTTTTAAGGTTAAGTATTCAATAAGAAAAACAAATGATCTGATATAACCATCTCCTGTTACAGAGTCACAGAGCCTTACAGCTTCCCTCAAGTGTTGTCCCATCCCACTGAAATAAAAAAAATAGTTTCTTCATTACCTCGGTTACAGATAGTGCAGAAATTACTTGGTCCTTCACTATGTTTCTTCAAATGATCTGCCATATACGCTGCTCGCAAGTACTTCCCGCACACCTGGCACGGAACTTTGTCTTCATGACACGCTAGGTGTGAGCGCAGTCGGTCACGAGTTGCAAAGGAAGCATTACAAGTCTGCAGGTATAATGAGAACCATGTGACTCATCAACTCTGCTAAAAGCACTGATATTGTTGAATATACTTAGTATTCTTTACAGTAAATACATTAGACCCTGTGCAAACACACAAATGACATGATGCATGACCCGTTTTCCCACAACTAAAAAATTCCAATCACCAACATACTGCAGGAGATGTGGTTACTACTCAAAAGGATTAAGAAAGCAGGAAAACAGCTCTAACATACTAGACAGTAAAACTTAAATCAAGATAGGGTTGTAAGCCTAGCTACTCTCTGAGGATGAAGAGACTAAAACTTTAAGTAATATTTAATAGAAGAAATACAACAAACCACTTTATTCCATTTACAGTAAATTCTGCCAATTCACTGAGTCATTACAATCACTTTAAACCACTCAAAATGTCCTCTCTGCTATCTTCCTGAATATCCTCTTTGATCTGATCAATCTATCTTCAGTACACACAAAATCCCTTTGGAGTATGAAGACATACAAACAAAGCATCAGCGAATTGGCTGGGATGAGAATATGACGAGAGACAGTAAAAGACCCCTCCTGGTATCCACAGTGGCAGCGCAGACAAACTGTAGAAGTGAAGCCTCAGAACTGAGCAGGTATCCAAATAACTGCACGACACCGTAATCCGTTTATAACTTACCCCTGGATCAAGGTATCATATTCCACTTACTACTGTGAAACAAGCTTGATTTGGCATAAGATAATATTGATTCTACTTGCCCACTCCCCAGACATAATCCATATGGTCCTGGTGGACAGTAAACTATCCATGAGCCAGCAATGTGCCCTTGTCACCAAGAGGGCCCATGGAATCCTGGGCTGCACAGGGAAGAGTGTGACCAGCAGGTCGAGGGAGGTCATTCTCCCCAACTACTCTGCACTGGTGAGGCCACAACTGGAATCCTGCGTCCAGTTCTGGGCTCCCCAGTTCAAGAGATACAGGGAACTGCTGGAAAGAGTCCAGCGTAGGGCAACAAAGATGATTAAGGGATTGGAGCATCTCCCTTCTGAGGAAAGGCTGAGAGAGCTGGGACTCTTTAGCCTGAAGAAGAGAAGGCTGAGGGGAGACCTTGTTAATGCTTGTAAGTATCTAAAGGGCGGTTTGAGGGAGGATGGAGCTGGACTCTTTCCAGTGGTTCCCAGTGACAGGACGAGGGGCAACGGGCACAAGCTGGAACATGGGAAGTTCCATTCAAATATGAGGAAGAACTTCTTTATGGTGAGGGTGTCAGAGCCCAGGAACAGGCTGCCCAGGGAGGGTGTGGAGTCCCCTTCTCTGGAGATCTTCAAGCCCCGTCTGGATGCTCCTGAGTGATGTGCTCTGGGCAACCCTGCTTTGGCAGGGGAGTTGGACTAGATGACCTCTAGAAGGTCCCTTCCAACTCCAACAACTCTGTGATTCTGTGATAAGATGAGCGAAGGCTCCCTCCCATTTTTATAATCGTAGCAATTGGGAGGCAGCATGTATACAATAGCCTACTATAACAGGCTGCCAGTTCTGAAAGGCTTGCTCCACCTCTGACATGTGAAGGAAAATAAATCACCAGCAATACACTGTACAAGTTATTAAAGATATAGTCTGAAACCATTGCTCACAAGCGGAAGAGGAAAAACAAATGCAAACATACGTTAGAATGACCAGACCAAGCAGGCAACAGTGACATTCAAGAGTGTACAGTGTTTCATTTATACCTTTATATAAAATAATGCAGTTTAAAGACGTATAACCAGAACCCCCTAAGAGATAATATGAGACTATTAAGTGACTTGGGAAATTGACATATTCTGTCAAGTGTCAGTGTGCAATTACAACTGTTTCAAAAGAGATAGACTTGTTATAGTACCAATCCTAGTAAACTTACAAAATTATAACTTCAAATAAGTGAAATTGATAATACAGAAGAGGATAAACCATATAATTTTATATAATTTAGTTAATCAAGAGATTAATCCTAAAAACATTGAAGGCAGCTGAAAAGCACCTATGAATTTCAACAGGCTTTACACTCCTTCGATCCTATGAGATGCTCAAGTATGGTAAACTCCCATGGACCTGAGGCTGCTGTACAGCAAGCACACCACTCAGCACCTCAGAGGATCAGGACTTAATGAATTTAAAAAGACAACAGTAAAATTATCTGGATTTCTGCAATACACACAGTTTAACTAAGATCACCAGACAAAGATTCATCAATTACAAGTAGTGAAGATTAAGAGGCAAATCCTTGAACATGAAAGACTTCTCTTCATTTGAAATCTCAGTCCACAGCGCTGAGCAAAACAGGTGCAGCTTTCACTTACTGAAATGTTCTTAGAGGTAGACACTCATTTAAGGCAGGATTCCAGCACTGATACTAATCAAGCTGTTGGATATCAGCTAAAGATATGTAACTAGACAATCAAAGATGACAGCCAAGAGATCCATCATCAAGAAATCTAAAAATTTTGAGCCACAGTAAGCGTCCACACAAAAGCATTGGGAGTGCATTAGTTGATGAAGCAGATCAGAGACAAACCACATAAATACAGGGATGCCAGAAGTAAAACCGTATCTGTCCCATATTGAACTTATCAAGTCGAAAGCTTAAGGAAAGGCAATATAGTAATATCTGTGTTTGATTTCTCACTCTTGGTGCTGAGTTGTGCAAAGTTCACCTTTGGATAAGCTATATAGTAAATATATCTGCAAAGAAGCTTAAAAAAATATATAAATTAAGTCCAGTGGAGAAAGCAAGAACCAGTTTAGCTGAATCATAATAATGGGAGACAGGACTAGGTTTAAAGAAAACCCCAAAGTTAATATTCAAATAGTTAATATTTATAAAAGGTATAGAGAAAAAAAAAAGTTTTATTTTACAAAAGATGTGAAGTGCTAAATGAGTGCTAAGTATTTATCATTAATTGTTAATCATAGAAGAAAACTCTCCAGTGCTTTCCTATCAAACATTGCACAGGTATATAAATAGATCAAAAAGAATATATATAAAGTTTAAAAAACATTGTTTAAGAAATACCTCTTGAAGTTTCAACTTTTCTATGGATGTGGATGTCTCTGAGCTTATTCCATGGTGGCTGCCATTTTCCTGCTAATAGGCAGGAAGTAAGAGAAATTAGGACAGGAAGAAACTCATTCTGCATTGAAATCAATGGGAAAAGCACTGGACTTGGGATGCCAAATTTAGGTTTACTTAAGAAAATAGATCTTTTTCTTGGTCAAAAGTTGTGCTTAAATTTAACCTGTATTTTGCTCTTTTTTTATTTAAATTGCCAGAAGAACAATCTGTCTCTTGTCTCTGAGAAGGAGTAAACTTCTGTTTTCTCCCCTTGTTCTTTCACGTCCACAGATTTTCAGATCACCATTTCCTCCCAAAACGCAAACTAGCTTTCATACCATTTATACTCAAAAACCAACGACCCAGCTTCACCCTTTCCCGTGACAGGTTAGCAAAATGAGAAACTAAGCTATCCATTATGGCCAGAAGACTAACTTACCCCATCTCCTATATTCAGAACTCAACTGTCAGATTAAAAAAAGTAAAAAATTAAAAAAAAATAAAAAATAAAAAAAATGACCAATACAACAATCCAAGAGAAAAGATCCAGAGTGCCATTGGTGTCTCATCTGGACACAAAAACAACTTCTTGGATCCAGTTTCTCAGCTGCCTTGACTCTGTGGAGGCCTTCCCTATTCTCAGTCTATTTTAACAGTAATGAAAAAGCTGGAATCAGGTCTTTGACTGGCATCAGGTGCTACAGGTGCTGGAACTTGGGATAGTTTTTCAAAGATCCATAAATGTGCAGGATTACATGCTGAGCACTGAAAACTATAGCTGTTGCAATGACATTCTGCTTATAGTTACCCCGCTTCTCATAGTTTCATTTCAGTTATTCTGAAGTTGGGTTGACCTTCACACTTTTGTTTCGGTAGCCCAAAATTATACCATGATGCCACATCACCAAAACATTAGATATCCACTGACTTGCCAAGATACACGAGGGCTCAGGTAAATGGCCAGTGGATTTTGTATAATCATAATACAGCACCGCTTCCAAGAACGCCATTATGATAGAGGACTCTGGAAAACTCTTCTGTTTACTGACAGAGTACTTCTCTTTTGCAGTAAACATAAACAAAGCATCACAATAACAGGGATTTTCATCAGGAACTCGACAGATTCAAAAAGGATGCTCAATGATGTTCAGGCTACTCTCGTGGGGAGAGCTAATTTGCCAAACAAAATCAATGGAAAAAGGGGAAAAATGCCAATAATAAGCTATTTTCCTTCTTAGTGGCTGGATTTTGTGTTTAGTCATGGAACAGAAATGTTACTGGTTATAAGCTAATTGGCAAGGATAACTTTATCAATTTATACATCAGCTTTCAGATTTGAAACAAATTTTCAGTGGCATAGCATCCTTTCTGTGGTTTGTACTATGTATATCATAGTGCATATTTAAGAAGACTTTCTAAATCTAGCAGAACATTATGAAGCATTTTTCGCAAAGACACACAACAGCCCTTTAACAAATTTCCTACATCTTAAGATTCATGAAAAATTAACTTTGCAGGGTTAAGCAGTCAAAAATCAAGAACAAACCAAGCCTGAATGACAGCCTCAACTCTTCCCCAATGCTTGTAACCTATAGACTATACCTTTTAACTGAAATGAACAGTGCATACAGTATTATGGCACTTAACAACACACAATGAGAAAGACCGTTATTAGAAATTGCTATCACAAAATACGTGTGTGCAAGGAGATGGAGTTGAGCCTTGGCTGTACAATCTTAGCTTCCATATTTCTTGACTTTCTCGCTCTTAGTGATTCACACTTACAGAGTTTATATTGATTAGTCTTCAGTCAACCAGAAAACTATAAAAAGTATCATCAGGTATCAGCTGGCAAAGGACAATTCATGTCTATCAACATTATCCATAAACTGCATTCGTTCAGTAACCTTGATATCAACTGGCAAAAGACTGATGAGTTTCTGTCTAACCATTCTTTTTCCTACTTGCGCCCAAATACATGTTAATTGCAAACATTTGTAGTTATCTTCAGCTTATCCACCCAGACCACTTGCTATCCTCAAACGGTGAAGTCTTTTTATGGGTGGAATTTTCCAATTTATATACATCTATAACCCCTAAATCATCTTAAGAAGCTTAAACAAATCTAAGGCTTTATATAGGATATGCAGTTAAATCAATGTGATTTTCAAAGGAGCTGGGCTTCCACAGATGATATGGAGGTCAACAGAAACCTACAGAAGGTTCTATATATCTGAAATACTGTTCACTGGATTATTAAAGTTGCAAAACAGTTCAAAACTCTCACAATTTGGAGGAAACATAGGAGAGGTGTGTCAAGAGACGGGAAAAAAACCCCACAGATCAGGAGGCAGCAGTCATGCAGGACTGACTAGGTTCATGAAATATGCTTAAAAATTTTAGGAAAAAAAAGTCCTCTAACCTTCATTGTCTTCAAAGAAAATTAAAATTATCTTGCTCCAACTTTCTTTAAATAAATAATTTAATAATTTTTTCTTCAGAGACCAAGCATGGAGACTGTTAGCCCAACAAATACTTTCAAAGTTTGCCCAACAACTCTGTGAAGGCAGCGGGTGATAGCAGAAGTTGACTCTCAACTTTGGTTTCAATTAATACTTCCAGGCACCTTTTCAATCTCTCTACAAATGAATTACAAAATATCCTTCTTGAATTGATCTTTCAAACACTAATTAATAACTTATTAACTGTAAAAAAACTATATACAACATTATGACATTATATTGCAAAGGATACTGTACGCCGTTATCTATATTCTCCCTGGGATAAAAAAAGAATAACTTCCAATTTTGCTCAGTGCAATGTTCTGAAGACTATGTGACAAAAAAAGAGGATCTTGGCAAGTTATGATAATTTACCAATGTTATTTGAGATTATTCTAAAAAAAAAAAAAAAAAAATGAAGACAGCATTGGAGCCTCCTGTTGGCAACAACTGAAATAAAAAATAAAAAATTTAAAAAAACCCCAGGGTGGTGGAAGGTATCAGCTGTGACGTTGATTCTAAGGCCAGGGACAAGGTGGCTGGGTAAGAGATCCAGGGTGAGACTGGGATAGAGCAGTAGGGAAGAACATCTGGTAGAAGGGGAGGGAGGCAGGAGGACCAAACCTGTAGATGACAGAAGGGGCTGAGGGACAGGAGGGATGTAAAGCAGTTGTCGCTGTTGAACGCTGTTATTCACAAACATTTACTCCAATTCACACATACATGGTATTTTTACTGATACTTCACAATTGTCTGCACACATAAATGCAATGCCAAAGATTACCCATACATCAGTCTAAACCCCTCCAAGCTCCTACCTGACACTTGTGAGGTCTCTCTGAGGTATGCACCTGTTTGATGTGTCCGTTCAAGTGGTCTGGCCTTAAAAGAAAATACACATAAGCACACTTAAAAGAAATACTAAAAGTAAACTTACAATTTTAAGCAAAAAAAAAAAAAAAAAAAAAAAAAAAAAAAAAAAAAAAAAGATCCCAGTGGTGGATCTATTACAAGCGTAGCGATATTTAACTTGCCAAGAACCAGCTCACCAACAACTGGGACTCTACCTTGATAAGTACCCTCTCCAACTTGCTAAAAAGGCAGCATTTTCTCAGGAAGAAATTATAACTGAATGATTAGACAAAACAGGAAATACAATTTTCAAGCCTGCACGTCCCCTTCCAAAATCCTACTTAGATCTTGACAATCAGGGCACTTTGATTTACAGTTGCTGAGTATTTGAAAATCAGACCCTTTTGCTTTATGTCCCAAACACGGATGTAGAACCTCTGTGCAAAAAGACTGACTCTAAACTCTGTTGCTGTGATACGTTTTCCACCAGCACGATGAAAAAATACTGTCCTAACTCACAGCTTGGTGGGAAGACTGCATTAAGACAAGTAAAATGCTCTGAAAATCCCAACTAGAAGGTGCAATGGAAGAGCAAATTATTACTGAAAAATAAGTTAGACCATTCTTCACAACCAGTAAAGCCTACTTTGAAGAAGAGAGGACTGAATAGCTGCAGATTTCCCTGGTGGGAGTTTCTCCCAGTGGGAAGAAAGCTTTTCATTGTATGAGGCCAAAACTGCTTGGAAACAAGTTCTCCACCCTCTCCTCCCCCAACTTTCCAGCTGCGCCAATGAGAGGGCGCGGGATGGAATTCACGCACTGCAGACAGAAAATAGACTGAACTTTGCAGTCAGGCTGTTAAACCTGATGCTCCAGCAAGCGGGCTGGAGCGGTGTAACCGGACAGACTGGTTGGGGGTCCTTCTGGGTACCTCAAGCCTAGCAACCTCACGTGCTGGGCTACTGAATGAAGGAAAGGATACTAAAATTAGACATCGCGCTTCCAACTTCCTTTGGCCGCTCCTACAACTGAATACTGAAATGTAAAGAAAGAGTCTCCGCTTTTCATTCATACTTTGATTTTACAAAGATGTGTAGGCATTTTTGTTGTTTACTCTTCTAACAGCGTTCCTGCTGGCTCACGCTAACTTACTGGGAAAAATGAGGACTCAACGTGTATCTTTCATTTTCCCTTACTGACAAAAGTCTTTCATACAGCAACAGCAGAAAGCTTTAAGTGTGAATGAAAACAGGCAGATGATCCCAGGTACCACTATAACAAGAAAAATACTTTCACTTCTAGCCACAGATGAAACTTTCATTTTATGACTTTCTATCAGTAAATCTGCAGTCCTTATGAAGATGCATCCCTAATTATTGCTGATTTTAAAAAAAAAAATAAATAAAAAAGTCTACTTTTTCTTAATTTATTTCAGAAACATCTGCAGTCCTTATGAAGATGCATCCCTAATTATTGCTGATTTTAAAAAAAAAAATAAATAAAAAAGTCTACTTTTTCTTAATTTATTTCAGAAACAAAAGGTCCCTCTATCAAAAAGCAAACTAGTGGGGGCACAGTTCCTGTATAGCCTGGCAGCCTTTTGATTTTTGTACTTCGATTTCTTCCCTTCTCTTGTTAAAGCAAATGAACTGCTGCAGAAAACCGACTGCTGCTACAATAGTAACACCGAGTGCACGCATCCCCCTCCCCCCACTACTCCGAGCCTCAAAGCGAGCATCAAACTTCCAAAAAAGTTTCAAATTCATTAACTCAGACTATAAGATACCGCTAACACGACTACGGGTATCAAGCTACTTATTAAATTAACTCCCACAAACAGCGACAACAGAAAATCAGCAACATTAAATGCACAGATCTTACGTATGTTGCAGGGCAGAAACAGGATCCCCTTCAGAAGGATGTAAACCCAAAGGACACAAAGATCATGTATTAAAAGATACTTGATGCTGCAGCCTTTGAAATCTCACCTCTTCCTTCACATTTGGGTGATAAAAAACATTACGAACTAAGAGAAATGAAGGGAAGTTAAGAAAAAGAAAATTTAAAATGGATACGAGAAAAATAATAATCTTGAGATGTATTAATATTTTGCACTTCAACAGCACCTTCAAACTACCTACAAATCAGTAGCCTCCAGACGCTTCTGTGAGGTAGGTAATTATTTCAATACCCATTTCACAGAAGAGTCATTTGAGGGAGAGACTAACTGATTTGCCCAAGGTCACACATACACCAAGTCTGGGACAAAGCTGGGAATGTTACCCAGAAGCCAACTGACTCCCAGTTCTAAGTCTTAATTACTTTTAAACCCTTTCAAGAGACTGTAGAACAGCGTCCCAGAGGAAATGATGGAAGTCTCGTTTCTCGAGACATTTTAAAATGCAACAGCCAAAGTAGCCCAAGCACAAATGGTTCTTGTTTCCCAAGGGGTAGGAAAGACAACTTCCTAGGTCTCCATTTGCATCTATGGTCCTTATAAGTGCTCCCTTACCTGGAAAAGCCTTTTCCACAGCTCTGGCAGATGTAGGGCTTTCCCACAGAGCCATCGTGAGATCGAACATGATAGGACATCCTGTCTTTCCGCTTGAACCGTAAGCCACACACTGGACAAGAGTAAGGCTTCTCGCCAGAGTGTGACAGCTTGTGCCGATTCAGGTGATACACGTCCCGAAAAATCTTGCCACAGATCTCACAGGCCACCTGTTTCCTCGTCCTGCTTCTTTTTCGGGGTGCATCGGGGTCATCCGGACCAGGGATACCATTTTCACCCAGTCTCGGGGGTGGGATGTCTATGTAGCCCAGCTGTAAGCTCGTCACCCCATGTTGAGCCTCATGTTGACGAAGACGATTAGCATCCGTGAACACTTTCCCGCAGAGGCCGCAAGGCAGGATACCGGCCTCTCGCAGGCCCCCTGGGGTACCAAACATCATGGAGTCCAAGAGGTTGGCTTTACGGGGACGCCCTCTGCCCCTCTTGGTGCTTAAAGTGGGGCCACTAGCAGCAACATTCTGGAAGGGTGAGGCCAGCAGTGGTGGGGACAGAGGTCCTGCCACCATGGGCAGGCGGTCCACGCCCTGCAGAACAGGTAGGGAGGACTGCGCAGCAGTGAGCGCAGCCCGCGTGGCCTCATCTTCGGGCATACCAGCAATGCCATTGCCATTGGGTGCCAAAGCGGCACCGTTGGTCATGTCAAGAGGGAAGCCGAGGTCCGCAGCCCCCGGACGGAAGAGCATAATGTCGGGGCGCGTGGGGGGCACGAGGATCTGCACATTGGACTGCTTGATGACCTCCTGGCAGATGTCAATCACGGAGCGCATCAGCAGGAACTTGGCGGCCGTCATGAGCTCCGGGAAGCTCTCCAGCCGCACCACGATGCGCGACGTGTAAGCGAAGTCCAGGATGTCTCCGAACACCTTGGAGCTGATGGTGTGCATCTCCAGCTCCCGCCCGCCCCCGGGGGCCCCGCCGGCCGCCGCCGCAGCCCCGCCGGCCGCCGCCGCCTCCGTCGCGCCCCCCTCCGCGCCGCCGCCGCCACCTGCCCCGTCGCCCAGCTGCGCGCTGAACACCGACTCGAAGTACTCGCTGCAAGCGGCCAGCACCGCCCGGTGCGCCGGGAAGCTCTCGTCGCCCACCCGCAGGAGCACGTCGCAGAAGCGGCCGCCGTTCTTGCGCTGCTGGTTGAGGCTGTGCAGCATGTCGGCGCTGTGCCGGCTCACCTGGTAGGTGTAGCAGCCCGACGAGGGGCCGCAGGCGGCGGCCTCGC